GTTTTTCAGCTTTCAAGAAGTATCAATGTTGTTCTCTGTTTAATTTAATTTGTTTAAATAGAGTAGTTTTAGTAAATAAATGTTTGTTTGTTCTTGGTTTTTTACTTATTTGTTTTCAGATTCTAGAACTAGGCAACTTAGCAAAGCAAGATTTATTTTATTTTTTAGTGCAATTGGAAAGAGCTAAAGTGCTTTTTAGTCACTTCTAATCATTTGTTTCTTTTTTTAAATAGAAGGGTTAATAATAAAAATATTTAGACAGTCGAACTGTTACTGATTTGAATAAGTTTAGACATTTAGACAGTCGAACTGTTACTGATTTGAGTAAGTATGTTTTGTTTAATTTTATATTTTAATGATACTGTGCATTGTCAACTTCTTTTTATATTTATGTATTTAACATGGAAAACTGACTAATTTTTGACAGGTTAGTTTATATACATAAATGTGCCTATATATCAAAATATTTTATATTTCTCTGAATCTATATGAATATTATCTCAAAGAAAAAATTAAGAATAGAAAAAATTTGAATATATATACATACATATATATATTACTTTAGACTGACATTGCTTATTATATTATATTATATTATGATATGATTCTGCATTTATTATTTTTGTGCATTAAGATTGTGCCTGAAGGCTTTCTTAATTTAGCAAAGAATTTAGAACACAATGCAAATAACTTTGCATTGTGTTCTAAATTCTTTGCTAAATTAAAATAATGTCAATAAATTTCTTTTTATATTTTTCAGTTGTAAAAATATAAAACATTCATTTATTCAGTTGTAACAGTAGTATAATCACTGGTAATATATATTTAATGATAACAGATGTATAATATTAGGCTCGAAGAAGTTATTAGTGTAAATGGTTATAGGTGACTTGAAATTGTTGTCATATGAAAGAAATAGATCTAGGCGTAATAAAATTAATTGTCATTGAAATATAAGGAATTTTGCTTGATGAATCGAAAACTTACTTGACAGAATTCAGTGTCAAGCGGTGTTGATGTCTATTATTTGACTTTACATTAGACACTTTAAAATAAAGCAAAGTATGAATTTTACTATTTATAGTAACAAATAATAACAGCTTCAATTTTAAATGTTTTTTTTTTTTTTTTTTTTTTTTTTTTGTTATCTTAAACATAATTGTGTTCATTTTTTTTTAGTTGTCTTTGTCATGACTTGATTATTTTGCTTACTGTTGAAACATGGTTTTAATTTTGTAAATTTAATATGATGTGAAATTTACAATATTAATCATTTGTCAACAGTTAGAGAGAAGCTGGAACTTAATCAAGAAATGCTGGAAATTAATTTTTAGTCAAGGTAAAAATAATTTTTTTTATTGGAAGCATGATAAAACCAGTTACTGTTATTTATTGCATGACTTTTTTACTTTTTCTAACATGCTGTTTTTAAAACACTTCCTCTCTCTCTTAGATGAGACTTAAATAATATTAGTATTGAGAATTTATTAAACTCTGTAATTACTAAGCTCTTGCGTATTTTTTAATACTGCGATTGATAATTTACTATTTAAAGATATAATTCTTTAAATTGTCCCTTGGTTGTTCAAATATTGTAATAAATAAAATCTTTTTAGTCTCAAGTGTTTTCTTTTAGGGATCGTCTATATATTACGTAACGCGAAATTAAACATATAGACAAAAGAAATATCTCAAAACCGTGTTTCTCTCATGGTCAACTATATGCTGCATTTTCAAGAACTATAGCATTTAATAGTTTGTTTTTCAAAATTGATAAACATCTTATTCAAGGTATAGTAGGTTAAAAAATGTAACAAATATTGTTATATTTTTTAATGTTCTTAATTTATAGTCTTTAGATTTTCATTTCGAAAATTTATTGTTAAAGGTTGTGAGCACATTTTGTATGTGTAACTTTATCATTATTTATTTTTTTTTCATTGTTTTTGGTAAATATCTATCATTCAATAGTTGTAAAATGTGTTTATACGTGTTACATAAAGTCATATTTGTTTATAGTTGTATATATGTTTAAATTATAAAAGCCAAAACAACAATTTATATCTTAGTTTGATTTTTTTTTTAGTATTGCTTAGGTTCTTTTAGTATTGCTTTGGTACTTCGAAACAGGTTTTATAGTTACATTTTCGATAAATCTTTAACTGCAATTTCAAAATAGGTTACTATAAATGGGTAAATCGATTTTTGGTAATTGTGTGGTGTTTTTTTTTTTTTTTTTTTTTTTTTCTTTGTAATTATGATATCATAATTTCATTACTTTTTTATTTTAGAATTACGTTATGACGCATTTATAAGATTTATAAAATAAAATAACCTGATTTCTTTTTATTGTAAATTTTTGTTAGTTAAAAAGATATAAATATATGCTATTAGTTAATTTTATATTTTATTTATTTTATGCCTAATAATTTGTTGTACGTATTTTAAGGGGATCTTTGTAAATGGGGGGTCGTAACTAAAAACCTTTAAAAACATGGAGAATATTGTAGTTTTGCGCATTTAATATCGAGTTACTTTAGTTTTTTTTTATGTGTTTAACTAATTAGTTAGCTTAGTCTGTATTTGCAACACTTTTGAGGAAAGAAAGAAAACATTCTTATATATGTAGATCATTGTTTTACATTTTATTATTTTATTCACCTGGCCACCATTAAAGCAAAAAGAGGAAAGGAACCTCTTTATTAGAGTCAAAATATTTAGGAAAATTAAATTTCGAGTTACAATAGGAATTTTTAGTAAATGGTGGCAAATTACCGTTTACTTAAAATTAATGAAATAAAGAGGCCAAACAAATAATATAGAAATGGTCTGTGTTGAATAGACTTAACAAGACTCGGGTCGGGTCAGCTTGGTTTACAAATTTTTATGTCTACTTATCTCTTATAATTTTTATTTTAGGTTTGTCATATGATGCATTTATGCATTAAAAAATTTGTTATACCCATGTTTGATCGTAAATTTAATTTTTTTTGTTTGAAAGGTATTTGTACTCAGTTGCGTAGTTATTTATAATAAACTTTGTTATTTTTTATAAATTTATTTAAATGTGTGCATTTAACATTTTTAAGTTAACAATTTTCTTTTCTAAAGAATAATTAATCAAGGGGATACCAAAAAATTGATAACTCCTGTATAATATAAGTTAACTTCATTTTAATCTTAATGGTTCGTATTATAAAAATTATTACAAGGATTTAGTTGACACTTTCGTCAATTTAAAGCATGACCAAGTGTTATTATTTTGTGTCAGTAACTAAAAACGTATTGTGTTAAACTTAGAAAGGTCGATGAAAATGGTTCTGCCTTTCACTGTTATGACCTATGCCATTTGTAAATTACTTAAATAATGTTAAGTAGTAATTGTTTAGTAGTAGTTGGTAAATTATTTTACCTCCTCATACTTTTTATGTTAATTTTACAGATGGATTAATTTTTTCAAGCTGAAGGCGATTTTCTAAAAGGGTATTAGTTAAGGTTTTGCAACATTAAATTTTGTAAAACAGCCACTATAAATTAACTATGTAGCAGACCGACCAAAACCCGTATTACGGGTTGCTTTTTGCTAGTTTATATATAAATATTCATATATGTACATATATATATATATATATATATATATATATATATATATATATATATATATATATATATATATATATATATATATATATATATATATATATATATATATATATATATATATATATATATACATATATATATATACATTTATTTATGTTTATATATTTATTTAAACATTTATATGCAAAAAATTGTGAATATATATAACTTTATTTGTTTAATTTTATACTATAGTGTGTCACTATAGTATATATATGATAATCCATAGTATACAAATTTTTGGATATAGACTATACGTATATATATATATATATATATATATATATATATATATATATATATATATATATATATATATATATATATATATATAAATATATATATATATATTTATATATATATTTATATATATATAAATATATATATATTTATATATATATATATATATATATATATATATATATATATATATATATATATATATAATATATATATATATATATATATATATATATATATATATATATATATATATATATATATATATATATATATGTATATATATATATATATATATATATTAGGGTGTCCCAAAAAACAACATTTTTGAAAATAATCTGCTCTCACCCCCTAAATGTGTTCTATCTAATACAAAAACACTAGGTTTAAATATTTTTTAAATAAAAAATACTTTAAGGGGTCCCTCAAGACCCTCGAATATTTAATGGGTCCCTAATATTTTCGAAAAAAAAGTTTTCCAAAAATATGTCAACTTGGTACTCAAATGAAGCAAAATTTTATAAATATTTCAAAAATAATATTTATTTCGAAATATTTTTAACTTATTTATTAAAATCATCATAAAAAAACATTAGAAATGCATTTTTTTCATTTTTTCTCAAATAAACGCAATTTTTTATGTAATAAAACCAAAAATAACAATTTTGTTTTCAAATAAATATTATTTTTAAAATTTTTATTTAATTTCGCTTCATTTGAGTACCAGGTTGACATATTTTTGAAAAACTGTTTTTTCAAAAATATTAGGGACCCATTAAATATTCGAGAGTCTTGAGGGACCCCTTAAAATATTTTTTATTCAAAAAAAATATAAACCTAGTGTTTTTGCATTAGATAGAACACATTTAGGGGATGAGAGTAGATTATTTTCAAAAATGTTGTTTTTTAGGACACCCTAATATATATATATATATATATATATATATATATATATATAATATATATATATATATATATATATATATATATATATATATATATATATATATATATATATATATATATATATATATATATATATATATATATATATATATATATATATATATATATTAATGCATATACACAATCAAAAGCACCTTCAATGTTCAACTTACCAACATTTCCATTGAATATTTTCAGATCTTTAATAGTACCAGATTGCACTTCATACCAAGGATCTGCATTATACACTTTAACATTTTTAAATGAACGTGGATCTGTGTTCTTGATGTCAATATTTATATTCCCATTTACATAAACTCTTAAGAAGTATAGATTGTTAAATCGAACTTGAGATATTCTTATACTTGACCATTTGTTTAAGGATAGTGCGTCAGGTGTGATAACTTCTACATTAGGATATCCATTGATTGCAGTCCAAACAGAGAGCTTTCCTGTGTCATAATAAAAATATACACTGGGTGTTCTGTATCCAAATTCATTTGCATTTCCTCCTGTAGTCAAATGTATAATGTTTTTGTATTCTCTGGAATAAAAATTGGGTTTTATTTTGAAAGACAATAAATATGCCTTTTTAATGAATGGTAATGTTGCAATTAGATTATCTTGTTTCAATATCTCTTCATTAACCATTATAACAGAATCTATGAGTTATGGAAAAAATTTAAATTTAATAAACTATAATTGATTACAAATAAGTTTAAAAATTTAATACAAAGTCATGTACCTATCATTTTACATCATCATATACCACGATTACAGAGTAAAAATTTAAATCAGAAAAAATTCATTTACAAACCTTTTGGGAGAAGCAGAATGTTTGGCAAAACTTCATTATCTAAGGAATATTAATCATCAAATGTCATTTAAACAAAAGTTACAAGAACTATAGAATATTAAAAAAATATTTTTAAATACTTTACAATTATATTAAGCGGTGGATACATTTTTATTCAGGCTTGTTATTATGAGTTTTAAAATCATAAACACAATTATATGTCTTTTATAGTATTTAAAAATATATCAAGTTATTAAACAAAAGGAGTTCAGATCATTTTGCTCATGATTTTTTGATAACTCTAGAAGCTCTAAGATAACTTTTCTTTCAGGTGTTTTTTTTTTTTTTGGTTCTTTATAATTAAGTATCAATTTTGCTTTGATCAAGTTGGTCAACTGTCTAATGCAAAGACATTATAAGTTTATACATGCTCAGCTAAAAATCTTATTGTTAATAAAATTTTAAATAATTCAAACTTTTTCATACATAAGGCTAAAAAAATGGAATGTTGCTGATGATATATTGAAAGCTGTATTGAAAAAAAACTGGCATACTGATCTTCAAAATATGCCCTTGTAACATAGGAAGTTTTAAACTCTTTTTAAATTGATGCATTGTTTTAATTTAGAAGCAGCCTTAAAGTCATATCTAGAACTAACAAGTTTGCTTCTTTTTAATGTGCATGACATTTTCCTACTTTATTCCATTATTTGTTAATTAAATTTTTTGCTAATTTTTTAGTTAAAAGAAACACTTTAACTTCACTCTTTGTGAATAAAGATAGTAAAATGAGTGGATTTTAGCTTTAAACTTTAATAATAGAAATAAATGAAATGCTTATTCTCAACTAAATTACTAATGTCATAATTAAAGAGACTTGTGTAAACAAAGGAATAAGTAGTAAAAATAAACAAAACTTTACTATAATTTAGAAAGATTTACTTTATGTATTTTTAATTATTTCAACTCAACCAAAATGTCTAGTGGGTATATTTTAATGTCTATGTTTAGTAAAAAAGTAGGAAAAACAACAAAGAAATATATTTAAAAAAATGATATTTAACGTTTTTCTAGAGAAGTAGATAAGTTTTATAAATAAATAATTTGCTTACACTTTAACATATCAGTCAAGTTTATTCTGCGATACCAATACATATACCAACATTATGCCATCTTTTTTCGGCATAATGAAAACTATCTGATTATCTATTAATTTATTAAAACCTTTCCAGATATACATATTTAAAAGTGAAGATATTATATAACAGCTGCCTTGACTGAATTTGCTTTAGGACTACAAAAGATAGCTTTTAAACAAAATTATTATAAAGATTTAAATTGCAAATTTGTGAAAGAAACCGAAACATATCATTGCCTAAAAAACAAAATAAAACTTATAATGCAAGGAATCAAAATTAAAAACACACCATTTACTGTGAAATAATATTTATTCAAATTGATCAAACTTAAATAATTTTGAGTGTTATATTCCTGCTTATAAAGTTGGAGCCAGTTTCACCCTTGAACAAGCTGCGAAAGTTAATTTTTTACAACAATAGTACTACTTCTGCTCAATATTATAGATGTTTTTCATACTTTTAAAAAAAAAAGGTTATCACTAGATTTAGTGATGACCTTTTTTTCCATTATCCTGATTTACAATATTAGTTTTAGGGCGAAACATGGCAATCTGTCTTTTTCAAAAACCACCATTTTTTCTTGTACTTCTAATTATTTAGGATGACATAAAATGTTTTGGATTTGTTACATATAATAAACAATTAATGTTGATTTTTATATTCAGTTTAGATATTACTAGTTTTGAAATTATTTTAAAGGAATACATATTCGTCATCGAATAACATAATTTTTTAACAGCACTTTAGAACTACTAGTGGAGATGAAAATATCATAGTTATCATCAATTTATCTACTGCTGAAAATTAAACTTTTCATATAATTATTTCAAAAACTAAAAAACAAAATAATTAAAAACATTTGTTAATGACTTAGACAGTCACCAAATAATTTTTACAATATTGTTAGCCTTTCAAAAACAAGCATATTTTCAGTGAGCAGAAATTATGATTACCACTAAAAATAAGACTTGAAATAATATTTTTATCATTATTATTAAAGAAAAAAATAGTTTCACAAAAATATCAACTCAAGCTGTAGCAACTGTAAAAGATAAGAAAAAAAAATTAAAACAAAAAGATTAAGCAACTTACAAAGCAAACATTGAACTGATATGTTAAGAGATTAAAAAGAGATTAAAGCAATTTACAAAAAAATTTTGGCAATACCATTATGTCACGAAAATAATCATACCGATTATACATACAAAACCCCTAGTAAAAAAAGTTGCAGTGCAAGTTTTTATCTCAGAAATTTTACAAACACAATAGAAAACTGTTTATTTGAATAGTATTTTAAATATAAAATATGTACTTTATATATTCAAAAACTAAATAAATTTAAAAAAAAAACATATTCACTTATGAAAGCATATAAAATAGAACTAAAAATCTAATTTAAAAATTGTAAATATATAAAAAAAAAATTAACAGAAGTCGAAAGTAACTCTAAGTATATAGCAATTTAAAAAAATAGTATAAAAAAGAATACTTAATAGAGCTACAAACATAGATTTATCCTAAGCTTTTATTAATAAACATCAAAAAAAAACTATGCTTATGGCGCAATACCAAAATATTTAACATTACTAGTGTTACTAATATTAACCTACTATATTTACATATTACAATAACCTACTATACTTATTACTATATTACTATAACCTACTATATTTATATATTACTAATATAACCTACTATATACTAATATTAAAATAATAATTAATTTTAAATATTGTGTATGCCCGATGTGGTGATTTCATTAAAAAAATAACCTCTAAAACAGATAAGCTTTTATTTTATAGCAAAATCTGGCTAGATGTTACCAAAAATAACAGATAATCTATTGTCTTAGTATAACAGTAATAAACTTTATAATAATTTTTAAAGAATGCAACAGTTTCAGATTCTTTATAAATACCTGCTTTTCCGTTTATTAGTGCAAAATCTTTTATAAAACCATCTTGAGTTTGATATGATTGATCCGAAGCATAAACATGAACATTTTCATAGGACTTTGGCTGAACATTTTCTTCTATAAAAACTGTTTCTCCATTCAATTTTATTGTATACATATACAAAAAATTTTCTAACTGTTGACTTATTTCAATCTGTGACCACATGTTAGAAGGAATAGGAGCTGTTTTAAAAGTACTGTTAAGATTTCCATTTCCAGGAACAGTAATAGAAAGACTGCCATCACCACTGTAATGAAACCACACACCTGGAACTCTATCATCAAATGCATTCGCATCAGAACCAATTTTGAAACAAATAACATTGTGCCAACCTTCAGAATACGAGTTTGCTTTCACATCAAAATAAATTTTATAAGTTTTATCCAATATTGGAATAACTGCCAGCAGTTTGTTATGAACCAAAGGTGTTTCTCTATCTTCTATTAGTTGCTCTAAAAATTAATAATGATTGTTTTTATTCCTTAGATACTTAAAAATAAAAAATTAAATTAACTATGTACTAAATTGCGCATTGTTTATATACCGTAAAATATAATTGATGATAACAAATTATTTTAAAAAAAATTCAAAATACAGCTCACCAGGTAGTCTAAATATTAAAACAAATATGGCATTTTTTACTTTAATAGAAAAAAAATTAATAAAGATTTTAAATGTTATTCCAATACCATTAAATTTATATTCAATTAAATGTTAACTGAAAGCCATTGAGTAAATTAATGAGTTTAGAATATCAACAAACAATCTTTTGTATTTAAGTTTGTTGTTGTTTTTTTCTGTTATTATATTAGCACAAGATCTCTTATACTATCTTCAAACACCTATAAAAACATGAGATTGGTATATGGTAATCACTGAAAAAAGAGGAGATTTTACAATACGTGTTAAATTAATGAGAATCCCAATTATTTAGCGAGACATTACCAAATTTGACCCTTTTCATGAGATTTAAATAATAACCCTTTTTTTAAAATGTCATTTGATTTTTTAATACAAATTGCTGGTTTTCAATTAAAATTAACCTAATTTTAATTCCGAATGTTCACATTCAATTTTATTGCTGTATTACAATTATTGAATTTTGTTTTATAAGTTATTTTATAATAAAATATACCATATGATATAAATGCAAACTATTAATTTTTCCTTCATTATTTAACTTGTCTCTAATGTCTTGTAACTATTATTTACTTGTATCTAACATCTTGTAACCATTATTTACTTGTATCTAACTAATCACTTGAATCAGTTATCAATGTCACCAGTTATCGACCAATCATTTGTCAGAACAGGGGAAGATAAATCATACCAACTCATCTCTCGGAATTAGGTTCATGCATTCTGCAATGCCGACCATAACTGTTGACCTGAAAGTGTTTGAGGTTTCTTCTCTCATTTCTGTTTTATAGTAGGGTAAAATCACCAATTCCTGGCCAATTAATTTTAAAATGAGCTTTATATTACCACAAATGGCTTCATGAAAAAATAAATATCTAAACTTTTAAAAAACTTCTAGAGATTCAACTTATGGCAAGTTCAATAATTTTTGTAGATAAATTAACAAGATTTAGCACAAATATATTAAGGCGTAAAAAAAACCATATCATAGCCGGAGATCCAAAACATGGCCATTACAAACTTATTCCTGGCCATCATATTTTATGAAGTAAAAGAAGTGACAATATTTTTAAATTTAAATAAAAAACAAAACAAATTTATTGTATCGAGTTTAATTAAGTTCTGCATAAATTTTAACTTTTTAACAATTCTTTTTTTAATAGCTGTTTTCAAATTAGCGGACTAAAAAAAAAAAACATTAGCTTGCTATATTTATGTGATTACTACTTACGTTTTATTATGAAAATAATAAAATAGAATAAATAATGTAAATAATAAAAATTAGATTCAACTTTTAAATTAAAACTTAAATTTTTATTCTACCTAAATTTATATTATAACTAGATCTTATTCATGCCCAAGAATAGGTTGACATGTGGCTACAATTAGGTCATTATTTATGGGTAACAAAAACAACAACAACGACAACACAAACACTACCAAACGAAGTAATAATCATTTCAGATCAATGTAAAATGTTTTAATTAATAGAATAAAAAATTGCAACTAAATTAAATTTTATAATTGTTATTAAACAAGATAAACCAGCAAAACGTTTTTTCACATTTTTGTTTTCAAGGTATACTTGCCTTAGTATAAACAAAATTAATATAATTTTAAAACTCATATAAAATAACATAGCCATGATCTTATGTAACAAACTGAGGTTCCAAATATAAAAGTAGGATTACATTTTTATTTTAAAAAATTTGGAAAACCACTAACTAAATATTTAAGACAATAAACTTCTTTGAAAAGTAGCCAGGAATTGGTGCTGGCCATGTATAGGTAAAACCAGCTATACCTATACCACCTATGGTTTTACCCTAAGACATTTTTTTCAAATTATTTTGCCGGCCAGATCCCGATCTCTAAAAAGATTGAGGTCGGCAAATTATTGCCGACCTCATTTTTCCTAATTCCGAGGGTTGCTAACTGTGCTTTTTTGTTGAACCCATCTTTTTTCAATAAGACTTAGTTTGACAACAAATACTTATGGAACTCATAAGTTAGAAAATTGGTCACAGCTTAATGATTTATAAACATAAAAAAGGGGCTTTTTTGTTTACAAGTAAAATTGAGTCTTCAAATTGATCCCAAATAGGGATACTGTCTAGTTTCATCCGAATGAAAGCTTTTAACACTTGGTATTGACACTAATAACAGGTCAAAGGTTACTAAACTTGCGTAATCTTGGCTGGTTTATTATTGTAAGATGCACTCAGTCCCGTGATTTTTAGTTAAAAATAATTAAGTGTTTAATTAAATAAAATATTTAGGATCCCAAAATTTAAGTGAAAAATGTTTAAATTTGCTAAGTGAAGAATAAAAAAAAGTTAATTTTGCGTGTATTATGAAAACTTATTATGCGGACATAGATGGAATCATATATAAAGTTAAATGTTCTCATCTACACCTTTTCAAGATGTAATATGCGGACATAGATGGAATCATATATAAAGTTGAATGTTCTCATCTACACCTTTTCAAGATGTAATTGAGAAAACAAAATTGTAATTAAGAATCAAAATTTTACGGTAGAACGAGTTCTGACGTAATTTGAAAAGGCGCAATCATTTAATCTCCAGATGTAACTGAGAAAACAAAAGTTGTAATTAAGAAACGTAAGATGTAATTGAGAAAACGTAAGTTGTAATTGAAAACATAAGATGTAATGCGTGACAAGGAGCATTATCTGTTACGACGACCAAATCCTCCAAACGATTCCCGGATGTAACCCACTGGTGAAACATAGCCAACATCCACTCGTTACAGGAATCTGCTTTAAATGATCCCCTGCGAGTTTCTATCATGACGACATTTGTAGTTAAAACAGCTGCGATCAAGTGTATGTTTATACCTTTTGAAGCAGGTACTTTCATAATTGCTCTTTTTCCTTGTCTCGCGCGTCCTTGCGTTTTTCTACAAAAAAGGTTAAAATTTGTTTCATCCAACCAAACTATCCGACGACCATTTGTGATATGTTCGTTGATGTTTCTAACATATTCAGCTCTTTTTTGTTTGTTTTCATAACTGTTCATTGTAGAAGGCTCCTTGTGCACTTTTTTTAAGGAGAACAATCTGCTTTCGAGGTAATTTGCTATTGTTGTTGTGCTAACTTTTATGTTAAATTGTCTTAATATCTTTGTTTTGATGGCCACCAATGTTAATTGACAATCATTTTCAATCCATGTTAATATTTCTTCGATTTGATCTTCGGTCAACTTTTTCGGTTTAAAACCTCCTTTTCCGATGAAATTTGAATTTCCGCTGCGAACCCAATTGTATGCTGTCTTATATTTGATACCTAGCGTTTGCGCGAGATTCATCCAATCTTCAAATCGCTCCGCACATTCAACAACTCTTCTCCTGTCATTTGGAGAAGATAAAACGTAACGTTTCCTTTCAACTTGTTCAGTTGTGTGTATTTCATGCCGAAAAATCGGACAACTTGAATTTGGTTGTTCCAGAACTGAACGTAAACAAATTTGGTGACATAAATGTTGACACGGATTTAGCTTAATCACAGACTTTCGGGTCATAGTGTATTGGCATATAACACAACGATCTTTCAATTCCATTATTATTACTTGTGCATACAAAAGCAAAAAAGACCTTTTGTAACAACCTACAAACTTAGACTGTGAATTTGCTATTTTAATTTATGTGTTCTCGATTACAAGTTACGATTTCTCAATTACATATTATGATTTCTCAATTATATCTTACGTTTTTTCAATTACATGTTGTGTTTCTTAATTACATGTTACGACTTCTTATTTACATGTTGTGTTTCTCAATTACATATAACGTTTTCTCAATTACATGTTGTATTTCTTAATTACATATTACGACTTCTTAATTACAACTTTCATGTTCTCATTTACATCTTGAAAAGGTGTAGAGAAGCTGAGAAAGAGAAGATGAGAAACACGGCTTTATTTAAATAAAGCCGTGGCCAAGTATGCGTGGTCAGGGACAACTAAAAACTATATGCGTGGTTAGGAACAAAGTGCTACCGCATGCCTTACCCGATCAAGCCCGTTACTTTAGTTGATTTATTTAATGAAGAAAATGAACCGATTACACAATAGTGAATTTCAAAAGCGTAAGAAAAAAACTGAAAAAGAGCAAGAATTTAAAAAGAAATTTAAAAACTTGATGGTTTTTTGGTGAATATCGAAAGTAAAGAGCCCATAATAATCTTTTTATGCTTTATTATGAATAATTGTTCCAGTGAAAGAAGTTTATCAAAACCAAAATTGATCAAAACCTTGAATAATTTATCGATTATATCTTATTTTAATCGCGGATTTGGGGCTGTCCATTAATAACGTCAACAAATTTTTTGAAATTTTAACCTCCCCTTCCTCCCCCTTGTCAACAATTTGTCAAATTTCCAGAAACCCCCTTATAAAATTACGTCAACTTTTGATTACCCCCCCCCCCCCCTATACAAAGAAACTACGCTACAAACTCAGCCTAATTTTCCGTTATTTATGCAATGAAACTCGAAAAAAAAAAAAAAAATGTTGACGTTAATTTTAACTGACCACCCCCCTCCCCCGTGTCAACAATTGTCAAAAAAGTTCAGACCCACCTTCCCTCCTATTTTGTTGACGTAATTAATGGACAACCCCTTTAATAAAACTTCTCGATGTGGATTCTCTAATCGATAAATTTTGTCAAGAAAAAAATTTCTATAAGTAAAAAATATTTTTAAATTTACTCTTATGCTAAAATGTTTTTTTTTCGTAGTTTGTTTTGTATTTATAAAATCTAGTTACATATTTGTGTACTATGTGTACAGTAT